CGAAAACTCGTGAATATGGCAATAAAGAGGGGGACAACAGTCCGAACAATGTAAATAATGTAAATAATTACGATACCTCATCTCAGAAGATACACACAAAAATATATATATATATATATATATATATATATATATATATATATATATATATATGGTATATTTAGGCAGCAAGTATTCATCCAAACAAGTTGTATTAAAATAACCGATAATATATCTGTTTCATTTTTTGAATTCCATGGAATGCAAAAAAAATTATGCAGATAGACATTTTTCAATAATTTCACCCCAAGCAAGACGGGAACGCAACTAAGTGTGTAGGATTGAGGAAAGGAAAAAAGAACAGATTTCAAGAAGACAGAAGTTAGCGATTGAAGTTGTATTTAAATTTTTCTAGCTTGTAGTTATCAAAAAATCAGAAGGAAGTTACACTGGTGTGAAGTGCGAGAAAAATATCTGTTAGAGTAGAAGTGACGGTTGCATCAAGCTATCTCAACAGTAAAGCGGAGAGACCTAGTTGCCAATCTAGTAGTACGTTTAAATTCGTATAGCCCGGGGACCAGGAAAAACAATATCTGAGCAGTTACCATGAAAATATTTGTAGAACAGGCAGAATGGAGCCACGTCACGTTCGGCAAGAAAGTGACTGGAGATGAGATGCCTGGTCAGGACCGATTGTATTGCAGACCCTTCTCTGGATTTTATAAAGAATCTCGAGATGCGCAATAGGAGCACCAGGCCAAATATGGCAACAGTATTCAATACACAGACGAATGGTAGATTTTTGAATGTGCAAGATGGGTCTCTGACGTGAAAATCTTTTGCCACGTCAAAGTGAACAGACTTTCCTAGCAGTAGACATAGCAATTGACTCAATATCGTGGCCCCACTTCATGAGGCCAAGAAGGCGTAGATTGTTGCTCTCCTTGTTTTCAGAATAAGCCATCCTGTTGGTAGGCAGAAAAGGTTCTCTGTGGTGATTAAATGAAAGCAGTTTTGTTTCGGGGGCGTTCAAATTTACAAGCTATTTCTTATCCCTGTTAAGCACTGATTGGTTGCCAGGTTTATTTTGTCGGATCTGTTGGATTTGCTACTAAAGCAGGAGTAAATGGCAGTGTCATCTGCATAAATACCTAGTTAGGAAATGATGATATCAGGAGCACATTGATGAGGATCAGAAACAGCTTAGGTTCAATGGCACAGCCCTGGGCGACTCCCGCGTTAGTATGAAATGATCAGGAAGCATGCCCGTTCTATATCTTTATTCGATTGGTTAGGAACGATTAGATTAAGCCAAATATACCTCCCGTGATATGGTAGCCCTCGAGTTTGCGTAGAAGGCCAGTATGCCAAACCCTGTCGAACGCCTTCGTGATATCTAAAGCGACATTCTAATCTAAAGCTTGATAGATAACTTCAGAGATGGCCGTTAACACGTCGGCGGTAAACCTAGCGAAACGGAAGCCATATTGTTTATCCGAAAGGAGATCGTGCGAATTAAGATGCTTAACAAGTTCGGCATTGATTAGGGCCGAGAATACTTTGCCGAAAAGAGATTAATAAGGCGACAATGTGAGGCATCAGAGAATTCCCCGGAGTTCTTAAAAAAAGAAACTAACAATCTGGAAAGCAGGAAGCAACGAGGCATTTGTTGAACAAGAGCCAGCACAGGAGCGCATTTCTTTAGGAAGACGGCAGAAATCTCGTCACATCCGTTTGGCTTAAATGTGGGTCTAATTTTGAGATGATGTCAGAAACAATTTCCGTTCTATTTATTAAACTTGTCTGGATACATATATACATACATATGAATATATGATATCGCACATTGAGTGCTGGTGTTAATAAAATGGTGCTCAGTGTAATATAACATAGCTATTAAACATATAAGACTAAATATACATTTTATCCATCAACGATAGCACAACACGGGGTTTCATACATTCACAACGCAATCTTCAGGTGGTGGGTAGTGTCTCTATCCAGCACCTGAGGATTGCGATGTGCTTGAAACTCCGGTTCGTGCTATCGGTGAGGCATGCATATATATATATATATATATATGGATGCTAGAATTCACCTAATAAAAGTTTCGAAAGTCACTGAAGGTAGAGGGTTATAAATGTGTATAGTGAATGAAAGAGATGGTGTAAAGTGAAGATCATGAGGTTTAAGAGAATAGATAATAATTTACCATTGATCCGAAGAGGTTGAGGCTGCGGTGTTTAGCGAAGTACGTACACACACGCGAGCGCGCACACACACACACACACACACACACACACATACACACACACACACACACACACACACATATATATATATATATATATATATATTCAAACATATCTGGCTGAATAATCTAGACATATTATGTCTATTTTTATTTTAATCCTCTCAAATACACGGATCAGTTTCTTAGTACTGCTACAAAACTGAGTAAGAAAGCTGCCGTAGTTTTGGTTATTTCTTTTATTTTTTCCAAGTACTTTTAATCTCATCCAAGATCATCTTCAGTCGGGAATTACTAAAACAATGAATGTAAATGATAGTTGTGATTTTTTTGTAAATGCACATGAAACGTTCTTCGTTATAGTTAATTTACGTTATGAATATGTAAGGGAGATAACTTAGTTTACATTTTATATCATTAACTTTTTAAAAATACGCAAACTACAGTTTTTTTTTATTATATATATGTTGAACTAGTGATTAAAGCACTTTTCGTCTTAGTGAATTATTTTCTCTTTTAATTAGAGTTCTGCCACATTAAATTTACGTCAAAATTCTTACAACTTCTTCTTGGTAGATTTTCTGTTATCACAATATGGGATATATAAAACAAAGATGATGAAAAGAAAAAGAAATAATGGATTTGAGTCGATTGCACAGAAAACAAAAAAAATAACATTTAAAAAATTTCTTTCAAAAATTTTGAAACTACCAGCATCACTCGTTCATGCGCATGAGTTGATATAAAAATGTCAACGAACCCAGTCCGATGAAGCCCTAACGGATGGAATGCGTCACAAGTATTACTGAAACGTTCTCGTTCGATTAAGAAAAGATGTTAGTTAAAGTAAATTCTGTTTGAACATTTTGTCAGATTTTTAGAAATGGATTTAAAATGTTTCACCTCTCTTTCTCGCTGCATATATATATATATATATATATATATATATATATATATATATATATATATATATATATGTGTGTGTACATTTTCTGTTTATATGTTATTTTTAAGGATACAATTTATTTGAGTAAATGCTCTGTTTTTAATTAAAGTGTATTAATTACATTTACCGGCCTGAACATTCGAGAAATTTCGCAGAAAAAAATGTGTACTCCGACAGGAATCGAACCTGTATCTTATGCAGAATCCGTCATTTAGCCTCACGTACTGTTAACCGATTCAGAAACTGAAAATACTTCAGGTTTAGCAAAGGTAAATGTAATTAATGCTGTTGAATTAAAACAGACCATTTACTCAAGAAAGTGTTGTATCCATAAAAATAACGTATAAACTGAAAATATATGTCAGATTTAATCCATTATATATAAGTATATATATATGTGTGTGTGTGCGCGCTGTTAATTGCAAACAGTCATTAGACTTCAGGATCTATCGTGGAAATTGCGCCACTATAGTAATTATGAAGTTCAGCGCAATCACACTTTTAACACTCCTCGCATAAGTGAGAATTTACTTTTTGTTTATTTTTCCTGGTGCTTGCAACTATTAAGTGCGATATTATTGAAAGGCCCCACCTTGTTCGATATTAAATCTCTTAACGAGAGATTAGACCACAGAACAATATCTCCATAGACAATAAATCACACAAGTTGTGTACCTAGATTGATGAACGTCGTTCTAACTCTCATATACGTGCATATCAGCGGGAGAAGCAATGGCAAATATTGCTAAATGCATGGCTAGCTAGATAACTAATTTATTGTCATCTCGATAGTTGGTGTCATTCACACTAATGTAAATACTGCGTATATTTTAATAATGACTTCGAAGTCAGAGTGTTTTTATTGACTTACTAATGGGTTTAAAGCTACTATATCATCTGTATTAGATTACTATTGTGGAGAAAATTTATTCTGTGAAGATTGTGGAATTTTATAGAAATAAAAAAACTGGATAAAAACATACACGTGAAAAAATTATCCTTTTTTTTCTCGATGAAGTCTTAAAAAATTAACTATATACTAGCTTCGCAACACCAAGTAAAGTTCGAAATCATTACAGTACGAATTGACTATGTTACGTCACTAGCCCCGTAGCCTGTTAGGGTCATAAGGTTCATAGCAGGAATGTTTTTTCTTGAGCTATTGGATCACAGCACTTTTCAGATTAGTTTTGAATTCAGAGATTTCTTTCTCATAGACTGGTTACAAAAGAGAAAAGAGAGAGAGATCAGACCTGTTATTTCTCTCATAGATGGAGAAAGTGGGGTTCATGCCTTTTCCAAGCACTTTAGCGCGAAAGTGAACGAAAGAGATTCGGGTGGGAATTGAACTCAGAACGCCGAATTCACTTTTTGCGCTGATAACCACAATAACTAATAAACTCTTAGAATTGCTTGCTAATCATCATTCCATTATTATCACACTCACTACAGTAGTAAACAAAGTCAGAGACCATTGCATTTCGGTTGGCGCTCTTGAATCCATCACATTGACTGAACTTCCTCTTGAAATATTCAGGGTTAAAAAAATTGATTAATCGATTAGTTTTCTACGGTTTATCAACCTTTTATAGGTAATTTAAAGCCAGACAAATATTTTTAGATTGTAAGAATTTCTTTGAGATAATGGTTTAGTGATGCAAGTCTTCCTAATTATCCCATAAATCTAAGAAGAGATAGATTCATACTTTTCTTCAGGGTACTTGTGCGTAAGTTTATATAACGAACCCAACGGAAAATGGAACTCGGCCCTCCGATTAACAATTCCTAGCAATTATCCATTACACCACCCGCACATCTAAGCTTCCCGCACCTGGTATTTCCAAACGGTCACCCATCTAGGCACTGACCAGGCTCGATATTGCTTAACTTGAGTCATCGTACGGGAAGCGGTGTTTGAACGTGATATGGCCGTAACCATCTGTCTTCAAGGAGATGGATTCAAATATATCTTTAAAGATGTGTGAATGATTTCAATACCTGTGGTATGTACTAACTTCAAAAAGGTCAGAAGTGGAAAAAATGGAAGAATTTTACAGCAACATTAGTCAAGTTACGGTTGTAAAGAAAACTGTACGTAAACTGTACGATTTTTATGGGCTACTTCAGTGCAAAAGTAGAGACAAAGATGGCGAATCTAGTGTCAAAAAATTTGGAAGAGCGAAGACGAAACAAAGAGAAAATTTATTTAACTTCTCGTGGAGCGGTGGCACAAAATGAAAATTATGAATAATTTTTTTCGAAAGCGACAGCGTCATAAATGTACATGTAAAAGTGGATAATTGAATGGCGAAATGGAAAAAAAATCTTTTAAAGCCTTTCGTCTATCAAAAAGAATTCATCAGACTATGAATAACATTATTATTGATAGAACTATATATATGTTAGGGGAGCGAAAATAGAAACAAAAGATCAGTTATTATAAACTGAGAGGAGTGCTGAAGATGTAGGATTACTAAACTTTAAATTTAAAATCTTCAATGTTCCTTTCGATTTATAATTATAAAAGATGTTTTGTTTAAATTTTCACCCCCCACCCTTTCCTATATACACGCCTGGACAAAATCTTAAGACCAGATACAAAATCTCATGCACCCCCATGCAGAAGTTAATAATGTGTATGCCAAAGAGAATTTTCGAAGTAATGTGACATTATTTAGCGTTGGCTAATTAATTAAACATGAAAATTAAAAGCGAGAAATACTTAAGGCGAGAAGAAGCTATCACGAAAGACATACTGAGCGATGTTAAAAATGGTAAAGATTTTATTTTCATTTGCGAAGAAAAGTATCTTTTCTCGCAGAAGATAGGAAGTTCGTAAGATCTCGGATCTGTCAGAATTAATTTATGCCATGACGCGGCGAGTAACGGCAGAGTACGAATAAAAGATAGCAATCTGCCCATGGCAATAATGAAAATTTCAAATTGGTCAAGTGGCTTACAAACGGAATGCTGGAAGATAATCAGAATTTGGGTCGAGCATGTGACCGAGATAGAATCAGCTGAGAGCACCCCAAAGAAAAAGGAAGGGAAAAGAGAAAAAGGAAAAGAATAAACCATTAACTATCTTTCGGGGATATCATTTGGTTTTGGAAAGGGACCACCTTGCCATAATAAAAGTTTGTTACCTGGACAGATTGTTGGCGACAGAAGTACGAAGGCTTTAAGGATACAAGGAGATTCTGATAATCACTTGACGAAAATCTCGTTGATGAATTCCAGATGACATTTAGTTAAGATAGAGACTTAATGATCACACTACGAGTCGTGGGGGTCTCAGTCGGGGAAAAGAAAGAAAAGAAAAAAGAAGATAATTTGTTTTCTTTGAGCGATAATTGTAAACGGAGGCCAGACTAGCCACACCCACGCTGCCGAGCATTCATTGGCTGAATGGTAGCGTGAGCGATGGGCGAAGGTAAACATATGAGAAAGAAGGGAAACCTGTTGACGCCTCTGAGGGGATTGGTGTGAGATACCACTATGAGAAAGAAAGGAAACCTGTTGACGCCCTCCGAGGGGATTGGTGTGAGATACCAATATGAGAAAGGAAGAATTTGGGAGGACATTTCGTTTAAAAACCCCTCTAAAGCAGAAAGTAATGGACTTCCAAAAATGGAAACTGATAATTTTTCCTGTCCGAAAACAAAGAAAATCCTTATTGCGGAACCCAAACTACGACAGGCCCCTACCCGGTTTTGGTCGGCGTCCATATAAACGGAGTTACAGGGCAGTAGCAGACGGCAGTTGGGCAGACGCAGACAGAGTGACAGAGCAGAGAGAGTTGAGCTGTGAGCTCGGAGAGCAGCCTCGCAGGAGCTGACTGAATGATCGACGCATTCCGACTTAGACTTCTAACCAAAAACAATTTTTTTTTTGAAGAACGACTTAGACTCACACAACCCAAAACAAGTTTTACGAATATCGCCTGAAGATACCAAAAACCAGTTGTTGAGAAACAACTTAAGATATTAAGACTCGCCTAACAAACGCAAAGTGTCACGTATCCATAGAAACGGTTTGAGAGAAAGATGCAGTCCTGTATTCAGCAACCAGATATAAGGCTACTTGTTATTCTTTTTTTTAACACATTTGAATCTTTCGAGTTGTTACTTTATTTTCTTTTACATATACTTTGCTCGAATTCGGCTTGCACTACGGCCCGACAACTGATTGATTTCGTCTACCTAAGATCAAATCACAACGTGGGTAGGTTAGACTAGAAATCAAAGCAGTTACTTCGGTAACCAGACTTTGGAGGCGAGCTGGGAACGACAAAGCTGATACCGAATCTAACCAGCTTTCCATCCGAATCAGCCAAGGGTTAGAACGTTATATTTGGCGCCGCGACCAATACCAAGTCACATTGGTCGTCACAGGATAGCACGGGGGCAGAGGCACTGGGTGACGTCACAGTAATTCACAAAAATGGAGGATGTACTGAGAATTAAATTGTCATTGTGACTTATTGGTTCTGTATTTGCCATTTTTATTTACATGGTCTTATCTTTATGACCAACCAAAAAATCCTTTTTTCAATGTTTGTTTAAATTAATCAATTAAAAGATTAAAATGTTCACTTGTTTGTTGATAAACTACATTTTCTAATTAAATGTAAAAGTTTCGCAAATATATTTTGATTAAAGTAGCTGTATTTTTTTTTAACCCTTTTGTATCTGGTCTTAAGATTTTGACCAGGTATATATATATATATATATATATATATATATATATATATATGTATGTATGTATGTATAGATACATGATAAAAGTGATATAGTTTTAAGGTATGCTATATTTATGGGTTAAAGTGCTCTATATCAGAGATAGAACGTATATAAAAATATACAAAATGGGCATTGAAGTCAACAACGAGCTGAGTCTGCTTCATGTTTAAACCTGACGACTGCGTTTAAGTACGAAATATATATATAATTCCATCAATAAGATTATATTATATGTATACAGTCCACTCCAAAAGTATTGGAACATCAATTCTAACTTGTTTTTGTTGTTTGAAATCAAAAGTTGAATATGGGACAAGAGTTCAGAATTCAGTTTTTATTTCTTGATATTTACATTTCGATGTGTTAAACAGCTTAGTACATTCCACCAATTGTATCAGATCATCCCTATTTTTAGGTGACCAATGTAAAGGAACAGATAGTCTTAAAGTAAATAACATTTAATATTTGATTGCATAACACTTGCTTGCAATAACTGAATCAAGCTTGCGACCATTGACATCACAAAACCGTTGTATTCTTCATTTCTGATGCCTTACCAAACTTTTAATGCGGCCATTTTCAGTTCTTGTTTGTTTTCTTTTCTCCTTTTCAGGAGATGAAATCATGCTCTATTGGGCTAAGGTCCAGGGATTGATCTGGCCAGTCTAAAATTGTCCACTTTTTCCCTTGAGGATGTTCTTTGTTGTGTTGAAAGTATGTTTTAGGTCATTGTCCCGCTGCAAGAGAAACTTTCTCACAATTAGTTTGGGTGCATTTTGGTGCATGTGGTTTTTCCTCACATTTCTCCCAATGTTTCTGTCATCAACTGCTGTTGTTTTTCTTGGTCGACCTGTTCAATGTCGGTTGCTCAGTACATCAATAGTTTCTTTCTTTTTCAGGACATTCCAAATTGTTGTGTTAGCTATGCCCAATGTTTGTCCAATGGCTCTGATTGATTTACCTTCTTTTCTCGGCTTCAAAATGGTTTGCATTTCTCCCATAGACAGCTCTCTCATCTTCATATTGGGTTATCATTTCAGCCAGAAATGCAGTCTTTACAGCTGAAATCCAAGGCTAAAAGCAAGAGTGGTCATTCAGAGCTGTTAATGTTTAAACAACCAATCTAAAAGGCAACACCTGGGGAACAAGAAACACCTGTCAGTTACGTGTAACAGTAGTTTTAATCACTTGAAAAATGGTTTCAAACAAAAGGTGGCTTGTTCTAAATTCTTTAACACATTTTAATGTAAATACCAGGTAATAAAAACTGAAATTCTGAATTCTCGTCTCATATTCATCGTTTGATCTTAAACCCAAATGTCTTCAGTGAGCAACAAAAAGAATGGAATTGACCTTACCGTACCAACACTTTTGGAGGGGACTGTAATTCCATCAATAAGAATATTATTTTAGTCTGAAGAATGAAACGGGATACATAGAATTTTTATCCATTTTATCTTTTAGGGTCAGATATGCAGATTACATATATCATGTTTCTCCGACATGGAAAAGTTTAAAAGGGGAAACAAAGAAATAAATTGTTTTCAGACCTAATGAAAACGCTAATATTGTTAAAGATATAACCGTCTTAAACAAAATTACCATAGTAAATGATCATAGAATGTTAGCTCGTAGGGTCAAATTTGAGTTTAAAATGGAATCAAACGAAATGATTCTCAAAGAGAAAACATGTCCTGTAAAGATCATAGGCAACATCACCAATTTTCAGAAAGAAATTGAAAAACAAAATCCATACTTTGCAAAATACATTAAAAAATTTTGAATAAAATTGGGTGGTGGTGAATTATTTTATTTCAAAATCTAATAAGGGGAGGGTTGCAAAAACCTGAGCAGAGGTAGAATTGAGGGCTGGAATTGAGTTTATTTGATTGAATGAAAAATATGTAAATATACAGCAAATTAGTTAAAGAGCGTTAAAAATGATTCATGTCAGAATTTTAGCCATAAATAAATAACTATAAACTTTACAAGGCATATTTTCAATGACATTCGTTTGTTATTCAGCCAGGAGGCACGGTGGAGTAATGAATAGCGGTACGGATTAAGGAATCGGAGAGCCGAGTTCGAATTCCAGTCAAATCCGTTCCATTCACTTAGGTGCTAATACCCTTGGGAAAGTTATGAATCTTCTACTTCTCCCCAGGATAGACCGGGTTCTATAGCCTTGGATGG